AAATTGGGGGATATATGGACCCATATTTAAAAAGTTCTACATCGAAGGTTTCTCCCATCCAAAATTTTTAAGTTCAAAATGGCTGGTTTCAGTCGATATCTGAGAGTGCATGTTGTCTTGGCCTATCTTTCGCAAACTTCCGAATTTATTGCCGTTCTGCATTGCTCAGGTGGAACAGTCACCACATGACCAGTTAAAACTTGGTCAGATTTTGATTTTATGTGCGATAATAAAAGGAACCCATTGGGTGCCAAATCAAGGTTGTACTTCGGATCACCGTGGAGCTGGTCAAAAATCGGTTTCGCCTGATGTCTGAGAATTTAGACTGCCTTGATGCAGAATCCTTCATCTTCTCTAGTTAATCTTACGAATGTTTCCGTAGACTTCTAGGAAATAAATTGTTTCGTACTTCTCAGAAATGTGTGTCCTCCGTTGATCAGGTGCAACAGTCACCATATGACCAAGTAAAACTTGGACGCATTTTGTCTTTATGTACGGAAATAGCCGATATCTGAAAGTTCATGTTGTCTTAGCCTATTCTTCGCTAACTTCCGAATTTAATGTTTTACATTGCTCAGGTGGAACAGTCACCACATGACCAGTTAAAACTTGGTCAGGTTTTGATTTTATGTGCGATAATAAAAGGAACTCATTGGGTGCCAAATCACCTTGGGACTGCTCAAAAATCGGTTTCACCTGATGGCTGAGAATTTAGACTGTCTTGATGCAGAATACTTCGTCTTATCTAGTTAATCCTACGAATGTTTACGAAGACTTCTAGGAAATAAGTTGTTTTGTACTACTCAGAATTGTGTGTCCTCTGTTGATCAGCTGCAACAGTCACCATATGACCAAGTAAAACTTGGACGGATTTTGTCTTTATGTACGGAAATAAAAGAAAAACATTGGAGGTCATGTCAATGCTGCACGACGAACCCCATTTTGGCCGGTCAAATATGTGATGGTTTGTGTCGATTCCTGAGAGGTTAGATTTTCATGGTGCATAAGGATTCGTCAAAAATCGGTTTCAGCAGAAGCATGAGAGCTTAGACTGCCTTGATGCAAAATCCTTCGTCTTTTCTAGTTAATCTTACGAATGTTTCCGAAGACTTCTAGGAAATAAATTGTTTTGTACTACTCAGAATTGTGTGTCCTCTGTTGATCAGGTGCAATAGTCACCATATGACCAAGTAAAACTTGGACGCATTTTGTCTTTATGTACGGAAGTAAAGGAAACACATTAGATGGCATGTCAAGGCTGAACGACGAACGAACCCCATTTTGGCCCGTCAAATATGTGCTAGTTTGTGTCGATTCCTGAGAGGTTAGATTTTCATGGCGCATAAGTTTTCGTCTTCTCTTGTAAGTTTTTCGACCACCTCGGAAGGCAAACAAACCACAATAACCGGCCTACGTTGCTCAGGTGGAATAGTCTCCACATGACCAGTTTGTCGAAGAAACAGGCGACCATTTCCTTCGAAGAATTTCTTTTACAAACAAATGAACCCACACTTTCGATTGCGGTTTTGGTTCCGCTATAAATGTGACAATGGACCCACAATTTCGATTGCGCTTTTGGTTCGTCTTTAAATGTGACAATCATTTAAATTTCGTTTGCAGCATCGTGATTCTTTTCTCAGAATTTCGTTGTACCAATCGACCTGAGCTTTTTTCGATTCGTGCAGAATACAACAAACATTCCTGCTGCTTCGAATGTATGCTGGTGGAAAAATGCCCAGCGATGTCTCCAAGTCACGGTGAGTCACATGACGATCTTGAATATTCACTGCATCACTTTTTTGTGACACACGGACCGTCTTTGATTGACCATCCTAATCTTGGTCTTAGAGAAAGAGTTCTGCAATACATAAGTTCGTCCAACCAATTGTTATAAGAGCTTTAGAATTGTGATTTGTCACAACAACAGATTTTGAAAAATGAGAGCCGAAAAGTATTCACAAATTAATTCGATTTCGATGGTCCTAGGCCTGAAATATATAATAGCTCGTCACAGTTTCGGACGTAAATTTCCAGAAAGTGCAAATATTTTTCTTTAATAAATATTAATATTAATTCGATTAGAAAATATGACTATTATATTCAAAATGCCAAAAAGCATGGGATACCCTTATATGGCATGAGATACCATCATATCGCATAAAATTGCAGAGGTTTATCTCGATTCCTTGAAAAGTCAGCGCTATTTCAAATAATGAATGCAACTGAATCGTCTTCGAATTTTGTATCAATCTCTGCATCAGACAGATATTGTGGTCTAAAATTGAAGCTATTACTTGTACTCTCTTTTTATTCTTCCAGACTAATTTACATTTTTCTGACTTAAGAAAATACAAATCTGTTTCACCAATTTTAAAATTTCCTAATTGTTAAAAAAAGCCCTAAATATAAATATTTTTAAAGCTAATTCCTTTATACACACACTTTCATTTAAATTTGCTCTCTTTTATTTCTTGATTGCGCACTTTCTCACCTTCCCATATTTTCGTTTTTTTCTTCTTGCTATTATAGTTAACCATATTTCAGTATTCCAAAAATGTCACCTATTTCTTGAGAAAATTTGCCATTTTGACATTCTTAACTTTATTGTATTTTCAAATGTTTTCATTGTTTGTGTATGTGTGTTTGGGGGTTTTTTTCTGTTGCTGTTATTTGATTTGATTCCTTTGTAGAATCTGTTCCTCACCGAACGAGAACTTACAACCATTATATTTTGCTGTGTCAACACCTGGGGTTGACATAAAATTTACTTCTAGTTCCGACAGCAACAACAGCAGCAGCCGGGTTTCACAACCTCAAACTGTAACTTGGAAAATGTCCTTGCAGTTGGTTTCATTTCTATAAAGATTTACTTAATGTGCTTGTTTTTCTTCGTATTTTACTTTAAATGAAATGAAGTTCATGAGAAATAGGGAAAGCGAGGGGGAGAGAGTGGGAATAACTTGAGGAAATATTTTTCGAACTATATACAACAGCTGTACGAAGAAATAGAAGAAAAAATCATACCAAGTTCTGTCTGTTTGTCTGTCAGTGCTATAATATTGTTATCATTTCCACTTTCACTCAACGTTTGGTAAGAAGCTACCAACAGAGATTGTAAATGGGAAGAGACAAGAAGAGAAGAGGTGTCAATTGGGGGTGAGGTGGGTGTGCGTATGGCATTGGTTGGCCTTTGATGAGGATGGTGGTAGTGGTTGTGGTGTTGGTTGCCGAAGAAATAATAGAGCAATTTTTAGCTTTAACATTTGTCTTAATAGAGTTATGTTATTGTCCCAGTGTGTTGAGATTGAGAATGTGTCTGCCTGTTTGTTTGGCTCCCTTGCTAGACAGCTACTATCTTTGCCTTTGGCTGGCATTTTTCTTTCTGAGTTTACTTTGCTATTTTTTTGTTTTTGCTTTTTCCAAACAAAACCAACCGAGTTACTGACAATTTGAGTTGTGTAAAGCTGTTCTGGATGTATGTCAATTCTGTGAGATTTTCTTCATTTGTTTTTCTTTCTGCTTCTATTGTGTGAGGATTTTTTTGTTTTGTTCTGCATTTCTTTCACCTGTCCACTTTCAGTGTGACAATGAATTCATGCTAGGTTTTATTTTTGTTTTATTTTTCTGCTTAGTTGATATTTCGTTTACACAAACATACACACACAAGCAGAGAGGGAATCACACAGTGTGAAACATTTACTAAATCCAAAGACTGAATGAAAAAGTCGTCTGTTGTTTTTCTGTCTCTGTATGTCGTTTTTGTTCTCTGTGTGATTAAATCGGTGATAAGGTAAATAAATAACGAGCCAGCAGATAAAACAATAACAACAAGACAGAAATGGGAATATTATAGACTTAATATAGAATTTAATTATTTTTTTCCACTATTTGTTTTGCTTTTGTTGTAATAGTCCACATGGTGACATAAATATATAGGAAGGCATGGGGAGCGTATCAGTGTTGAAGGCAAGGAAGACAATAAGTATACGACAGGTTGAACGGATAGCAGGTAGACTATGTACATAGATACATTTTTGGTTTTAGTAATTTTAATTGTAGATAATGAGAAATAGACAATATACATTTATTACAAGGATACTTAAATCTTTTTCAAAGATGAAAAAAATTAAAGAAAAAATAGTGAACTTTTGTTCGTTTTCGAAGACTTCAAGCATACAAATTGCTTTGTATTACTCAAAAAATAGAAAGTCTAAAAATGGAGTTATTTCGGAACTTTATATTTTTTTTTTATTATTTTTACGAAAAGGAGAACTAAACAAATTGAGGTAATATTTTTATTTTTTAATAATTTTTTTACAAATTACGATATATTAAAGTAATGAAACCGGTGTTTTTCGAATGTATCGGAAGACAAACAAACCGTTGACCGTTCTACGTTGCTCAGGTGGAATAGTCACCAAATGACAAGTTTGCCGATGAAACATGGGACCATTAGCTTCGAAGACTATTTTCCACGAATAGGTGGCACAGGATTTGCCTGGTCTTCGAAGTTCGGTCTTACATGTGCCAATCATTTAGACGTCGCTTGAAGCAATGTGATTCTTTTTTCAGAATTTCTTTGACGATTGGAAAATCGAAAATCTTCTATTTTTGTGGTATAAATTATCATTGAATATATATTTTTTTAATTTCCAATTTTTATATGAAGAAAAAGAAATATGAACTATTTTTTGTGTAATTTTAAATTTTGTATTTTTTAACATTAATTAATTAACATTATTTTATTTTTTTACTATAATAAATTAAAGAATGAAACGGATAGCCCATCGATTATTTTTTATTTACTTTAATTATTTTTTTCCTTGGCATAAAGCTATTGACTTCTAAAAACAATTAGTCTAATGCCTAAAGCTTGTATCTCGGACTCTTCTAAATATACATTTTGAAATCATTACTCTGCTCCAATATTTTTGTTATCGCAATAATTATTCATCTCAGTATGGTTGTGACCTTCAAACTAATGAATTTTTCTCTAATTGTTTATTATTTCAGATCATGTCAAGGATTTTAGCTGTGGGCCATTATTTTACAAGACCTTTTATTTCGATGAAAGGCACAATGCGCTCTATGTGGGAGCAATGTAAGTATTAAATACATATATATATATATATATATATAATTTAAAAAAAATATTTTTTGTGATTGAAATACATTACTAGTAGTTAAATAAAAAAAAACAACATTATGACTTAATATTATGCCTGGATCCATTTTTGTTCGGAGGTAAAAAATATATCACCAATGATCAACATCTATATGGCAGCAATGTTTCAAAAGTGTTATAATCTTCAAACGAGGTATTCATTTTACGGATCTCATTATTTTCTCGGGAGGAGGGTTGAACCTTCGGAGACAACGATGTGGTCGCTCAATCTCAGCTGAAGAGAATAAAGAACCAAGGAAGAAGGTTTCTATTATATGGTTTCTATCAAAAACTAATCGGATATGTGTTATTTGATGAGAACCAGAAACACCAAATTACAGCCAATACGGTGGAAAAAATTAATTTTTCAAATTTCGGGGAAGACTTCAGGCAAATAAAATGTGTGGTGTACTACTCACATTTTATTCTATTTTGCTGAAGTGGAACAGTAGCTTCAGTTCTGGCGAAATCTTTCCTCCACAAATATCGTTCGTTGGATTTTGTTCGAAAATTTTTAACTCTACAAAGTCTTTTTTGGAAAAGAATGGTTCTTTAGCTTTAGCCAAGAGCAAGCTTATTCACACGAAAGGCCGAAGAAAATTATTCTGTATAAAAATAAGTCATTTGGAAGGCATTCCGTCTGTACGACAACTATTTTATATATTTATGGCATAATACTTAATATGCGAATGTATACCATCAAATTTGATTTTATTGGTTCTCAAAGTATTCTCCAGCATGATTTATAGATTTGTATACTTTTTCGTGCTGATTCGTCTGCTCTTATTGGTTTTCCGAATTTCTCCGAAGACTTCATACGAACAAATTTGGGTATACCTCTCAAAGTTGACCATTTGATAAGGCTGAATTGTGGCCTCGTGAGCTGTTTTGCCATTGAAATAGGCCACCTATTTTTTCAGGATCTACTTTTATGGAATTTGGCTCGACTTTGTAGAAGCACACGGTTCCTTCCTAGATTCCTGAGTTGTCACCTGTGACGATCTTATAAAAGTTTTTAAAGCTTCACAATCGATTTTGTCAACTACACTAATTGGTATGAGTCTACTATAGAACGATTGTCAAATTTTGCTGGATCCAATGAGAACAAACCATTTTTAAGTACATGTGTGCATAGAATATCGGATGTATGCTGAATTGACCCATAGAAATTACCCATAATCCATTTTTAAGTATATGTGTTCATAGAATATTGGATGTATGCTGATGAAAGAAATTACCCTTTATCTAACGGTGTGTTACATGACGATCTGTCATTAATAATTCATCAATGCTTTTTGTCACAACCACCGTTTTTAGAAGAATATTTTTTCAAGGAAAAACAAGCATGAAAAAAAATATATTTTTAGAACAAGTAACCTTCGATTTTCAAAGATTTTTTAACAACAACAATGCACTATGCAGTAATTATGGTATGGTGGATATTGCACACCACAAATGATCAAAATATGTGTCTTCATATGAATATGTGCATACGTATGTATTGAAATATAAGTTTCCATAGCGAGTGTGAGCAGACACTCACGCAGACAAAGAAGCATTAATTTATAATTACATATGCTAAAATAGTTTACTTTGCTGCTGCTGCTGCCGCCGTATTTAGTGGTTAACGGCGTGCAAAAGGAAACAGGAAAACGGAAATAGGTTTTGACGGAAACGGAAATAGGTTTCGAGAGACAAAATATGTATGTGTGTATGTGATGAAAGGCGTTCGTTCACGGAAAAAACCACTGACAGTGATTATACATAAATTGTTGTTCTTGTGGAAAACTAATATGTTATATAGAGTAGATCACCTTGCAAATAAGTATAGGTATATAATGAAAGGTATTTTGGTAGAAATTTAAGAAATTAAAAATTAATCTTGTTGAAAACTAAAATGGAGCGAGTAGAATATAAGGAATGTTCCATGAAATAATAAATTTAGATTTAGGGTATGAAATGGACCAAATACTTAATTTTTGTCGGTTTTTCTGGTCGCTCCACAGGCCGCAATTATGGCCCAAACATCGCGAATTTTTACATGAAGAATGGAATTGGGCCAAAGAATAAGCTTGTCTGTTTTGATAAAGATTGGTCAATATTTGACGGGTCAAATGGTCCCTGACTTTTGTGTGAAAAATTACAAAATTTGTATTCTGGGACGCATATACTTGCTCCTGAAGGTCATATCCCCGAGAAGTTGATAGTATATCCAAGTGGAGTGGTTGACCTTCAAATTGTTACCAATTATAGGGATGTATGTGCTCTGATGTGGGAATTACACGTAAATATTTACAGGTGCTTACGTATTCAGATATTATTTAATAAACCATTACCAGACTAGAAGGCGGAAATATATTGCGGATCGCTTTGAAATCTTCCATGAGGTTCCAGTTATGGTCAAGGACAACGCCTATAATTTTCGTTGATTTTCATACAATAATTTTTGGATGAAGTGGACCGAAAACTTATTTTTTTTTTTTTTTTTTTTTGATTCTACAATTATAAACCGAACATCACAACATAACCCACGGATGAAGAGAATCTGGGTATCGTGTGGCCGGCCCCGTCCGACTATACTGCTCCGCTCACTGGTTTTTAAATTTTTTTTCTTCAAAACTGTGCAACATTTTCAACACTTTCTATATTCTGTTGTTCTCTTTACTTTTAACAACCTTGTAAGTATTAAGTTTTCTTCCTTTCCGTTTTTTTGTTCTAACCTCATTTTCATGCCACAACTAATACATTCTAAGACATGTTTCAAAAGTCTTTATTTTCACTCACTCTTATTTCTCTTAGATGCTATGCATTTTGGTAACAGGAAAAGGAAGTACTTAGAAAAGAACTTTAGAACAATGTTAGTAATTAATTGTAGCATAACTAAGTGAGGGAGTTTACATTCGCACAGCATTCAAGGAAGGGGGAGAAACTATTATTTCTTATTATCTGAGAGTAACTATAGATAATGTTTAATAGCATTAGCAATTTGATAGGAAAATATCCTATCCTATATAGAAAATGTATAGAGAAATTTAATAAAAATTAGATATAGTCAGGGATTTTAGACATGTGAAACGATATACTAAGTATTGTCAGGCATTATCTGATATTTTTATTGGGAAGCATTCAGAACGGTTTGATGTATGACCATGTGTTATGTTGTTTACAATGACTTGAAAATGGCCTAATCCTTTCGAAATTTTTTAAGGGGAGGGGATATGGACAACAAATACATATGGTTGTTTTGAAGATTACTGATCATTATTTAGAAATCTAGAAATTGTTTGATAAAATTCGCGAGTAATCTCATTTTTCTCTATGACGTCGTATTTGTAGTTCTTCTTCATGAATAATTTCCAAACTGGCAAATAATTTATTCATTAATTACCACTCACCTCTACACCTACCACTTTCCATTACTACTCCTCGAATTTAACTAAATTACAATTTATCATAATTGCCATCAATTTATCTACAACTAACTCTCTGCAACAAAATTCTGAATTTCCAAATGAGACTTCACAACAATTTTGAAATTCTTTTTTCTTTTCAAAAAGACTCATTAGGATTTCACTACTTCGAAAAAAATCAAATCATTTAATATCCTTTCATTTGTCGTAACCCATTTGCATAGCAATGGTTAAAAATGATCAAAACCCTTGCTCTTACCGCCTTTCCCCCTGTTTAGCAAATGTCTGTGTGTTTCCTTAAATGACGTTTGCCATTTGTTTTAAGCCATGTTAAGTTCATTGGCTGACTACCGACTGACTCACTGCATGCTTGTTGGAATGTCTTGCTACCGAATATGGTATGGCATGGCAATGGTGTGGTGTGGTGCTGTGAGGTACTTAAAAAGCATCCGGTTAAATAATGTACGGAGTAAAGGTTGTGTTGCAACAACAACGACTAGAAGTTGTTAAACAAAATGAAGATTAATGAGTGTTGTTAGAGAACAATTTTTACCACACAGAGAACTACAGAGAACGACTAACTAAATGCTATTTAAGCTTTGGCAAATATGGGGTTTTTGCATAGACATTTTTTGTACTCTACACCATATTAAATTTGTAATTGGTATATCTAGATCCATGTTTAGTTATAACCTCCATATAATGGTTCCGCCCCGATTTTAGTATTTTAGGCTTCTGTTGGGGTCCTTGGAGGTTTGAAACATCTTAGGGGAATATGGGCCCATGTTTTGAAGTTTCCTCATTTTTTTTTTTTTGCATTTGCATGTTCTTATGGGGATATTTCAATTGAAGTGACTGTTATTTGGCATTCTGGATTGCATGTGGAAAAAATACATTGGCAAATTATTTTCAATATAGGTCCAGATTTAGACTTCGCCCCCTCATAAAAGTTCTTTCCCAGTATAGTAATTTTTTATCGCATTCACGGTTCTAGATGTCTTAAAACTGTCTTTGCAAAAAACTAAGTAGAATGTTTGATATTAAAATGGGCATATCTCAGAGTTTAAATTGGCATTCCTGTTTGTGTGGAGGCTGGAAAACCTCTTAGCGAAATATTGACCTATGTTTTGGCATAACGCTCATTTTTTATATTTAAATGTTTCTATGGTGACATCCAAACTGAAGTGAATCTCCGGAAATAATTTTCAATATAGGCCCAAAATTTGGCTTAGTTCCCTTATAAAAGTCCAGCTCCCTTACAAGCATTTTTCATTTCGGTAATTTGTCATATAAAGTTTTAGGTGGATAAAAAAATGATTAGCCAATTTTTTTTTTTTTGCAATATAGTTCCCGGTATGACTTTGCCTCTATCTGTTGATTGGGCCAGATTTTTGATATTTATTTCGTGCTAGGGCCATTTTCGAACCAAAGTCGATGTAGTTTGTCGTTCTGGAGTCTAATGTTCTATAAGCCCATGTTAAGACAAATCGCTCATATTAGTGTTCCGTTCCATTTTCGCTATGCTGA